TGTTAAGTAAGTATAAAACTTTGGGGGGTTTTTTTGTTTGGTTGGGTTTTTTTGGTTAGGCAATGGGGTTAAGTGACTTGCCTAGGGTCACACAGCTAGTAAGTGTTATGTGTCTGAGACCAAATTTGAACTCAGGTCCTCCTGAATCTAGGGCCGGTGCGCTATATACTGTGCCACTTAACTGTCCCTATAAGTACAAAACTTTAAAAAATATTCCTGAGAAATGTTTTATATGAATAATACTTAACTAAACAAAAACAGATCACTTCTTAAATATTCTTCAAATATTGACTTGGAAATGAAAGGACATGAGAAAAGAAGAAATGCCAAATTATTCACTTCTGACAAAGTGAATAATAATTCAATCATTCTGTATCAACTGTGCATAGTTCTGTATCTATTTTGTGCTACAGAATCATTCTCTGTAGAACTGAAAGCCCATGGTGAATACTAGCTAGTACTTCATTCTCAAACACCCCAGATCAGTAAGTGAAAAACGGCTATAACCCTAGTGCCTAGAATCACCAGTACCAGATACATCTTTAGGTAGGGTCTGTGATTCATGAAACAGGACACTATTTTCCAGCTTTCCCACCGATTTTTGAATATATCCAGGAAATTTATTTGTCTACTTTGTTTCTTCATCAGCCATTAGTCTTGCAAAGGAAGATCTACCATAAAACCAAAGGCCTCTTTCCTAACCCTGGTCCTTGATCCTATGGGTCTTATCTCCAGTTCTCATTTGATTTACAGTTTTTCTCTGTGTGTTCCTCTGAACTCAAAATGAACTCAAAATAATGCCATGTGAGGACTCACTGAAGAAATTGGGGACATTTAGCCCGGAAAAAAAGACAAGACTTGAGGGTGATCACTGCCTAAAAATATTTGGCATTTGGTCACGTGGAAGAGGGACTAGACTTTTTCTGCTTTCATCCAGAACTAGCTGAATTTACAGGGGAAGCTATTTTAGCTCAATAAAAGGACAAACTTCTTAGCAGTTAAAGACATCCAATAGTAGAGTGGGTCGCCTCAAATAGTTGTCAGTTGTGATGATATAGCAGGCAATCATGTTTCAGAAAAGAGTTGGGCTAGTTGATTTCTGAGATCCCTCTCAATTCTAAGGTTATTTTTTTGTAAGTTGCACCAGGATTTAGGATTTCACCAGTATTACATAAAGATGCCTATAAACACATATAACATATATATATACACACACATACACTATGTATATTGTATGATGTACATTATACATACATTATATATATATATGTTATATCTATCTATGCCTATACACACATATTTCTCCCTATTTTGTTCTTTCTTTGAGGAATGGCATCTGTTTCAGTGGCTTAGGCTCGTGTGTGTGTGTGTGTGTGTGTGTGTGTGTGTAAAACCTTGCTTTTCCATCTGTATCAGTGTTAGATGTCCCTCCTCCTGGCAGAAGCCTACCTTGATCTTTGCCCTCCTCCAATTGCTAGTATTCCCTTTCACCAACCCTCCTCCCTATCCCTGAATCACTTCATATCTACTTTGAACACACTTTGTATTTATCTATTATATGTTGTTTTCCCCTAATAGAATATAAGCTCCTTGGGAGCAGGGCTGTTTCTTTTCTGATCTTTACATTCTCCAAACCTAGCATATAATTGTTGTTGTTCATTTGTGTCAGTTGTGTCTGACTCTTTGTGACCCCATTTGGGGTTTTCTTGGCAAAGATACTGGAGTGGTTTACCATTTCCATTTCCTTCTCTGGCTCATTTTACAGATGAGGAAACTGAGGCAAACAGGGTTAAGTGACTTGTCCAAAGTCACAATGCTAGTAAGTGTCTGAGGCTGGATTTGAATTTAGGAAGATGAGTCTGACTTCAGGCCTGGTACTCTCTTTACTGTGCCACCTAGCATATAGCAGTTGCTTAAGAAATCATTGTTGAATGAATGTTTCTGCCTATATGGATTGCGGGCTGTCCCCTATCAGGAGAAGGAAGACTACATTTTTTTCCCCTTCTTCTAACTTATCTCTCAGTTCATCTTTGATTTCTTAATCTCATTTTGTCCTAACTCTCTAACACCACCATCATTCTCCAGCACAACATCCTCTTCCATAATCTAGCTAAAAATTCTTTTACTTCTCTTGATCATCTTATATATGAATGCTGTTAATTTAGGTTCTCTTTCTTACTGCTTCAGCCCATCAAAAATTTTCTCTCTTCCCTTCTCCCAGGACTATTGTTATTTCTATCCTTCACTGTGACACCACCATTCATTTATTTAAATGATTCGAGTAAAAATTGAGACAATTCCTATTTAGTTGCCTCTTGCAGTCTATTTCTGCTTCCATTTCCATCAGGTCTTATGTGCTTCCTTCTCTACAGGCATATAAACCATTGCTGTCTATAAACTTTTTGGAAATGTTACTTATTAAGTCTATCATGGTACTCTTGGTAGCCAAATTCTACCCCACAATATATTTTTCCAGGTAAGTTAGGACTGATTTACACTAATGAAGAAGATGAGTTTTGAGGCACAAAACTAGAAAGGATGTAAGGACACTGAACATGAGCATGGTGGCCTAATGGCCAGAGAATTGTTGTCACTGCCTCTTCCAAAATTCTGGACATACTTTTTGGTGGCTGCATGACATAAAAAGGTATAGGGTTGTATGTAGCTTTAAAAAAATTCAACATTTATTAAGTGCCAACTATAAGCAAGGACCTCAGAATAAAAGAAGAAAAATGGGGAAAAAATCCCTGATATTAAGGAGTTTGTGTTCCGTTGCATTACATACTCATCAATTGAACTAGCCTGTTACAGACATAATATGTGTGGATTATTCCAAACTTTTTTTTATCACACTTATAAAATATATTTTAAGTGGTGTTGATTATCCTCAGAAAAATAAGGGTTTTTGGTTTTTAAGTTTAGTTCTGTCTTTTAAATGATAAGTTTAGCATCATTTTAGAGGCTTCTATCTGATAAAACTACAGAGGGATATTCTATTGGAAAAAATTTTTAAACAAATAATTATTGAGTGGTTAGTATGTATGCGGGCCTACCCTAGGGGCTGTGAGTGTGTACAAAGATGAATAATAAGATGCAGTCTTAGAGTCAATGAACTTGCAGCCTAACAAGTGGAAAAGAAAACATGTACATAGCTTCTCATGGCTAGATGACCCAGGAAAGAGAAGTCAAAAGCACCAACTTTTATCTGCAATTCCCAATATGGAGTAGACATGCAGAGAAGGAAGAAAATTGGGTTAACTAACCTACCCAGGATCCAGATCAGACTCTGGCCTAAACTCTAGTATAATGGAATTACAAAGGACAGAAACAGTTTGCAAGGAATTCACAGACGAAAAGACAAGGTAGACTCTAGGAAAGAAGAAAAGTCATGGAGAATCACAGGAGAAAAAATCAGTTTAATTTATTCTCTTGCCTCTTAGGTCTAACTCTACCCTAGATAGATGACCATCTCTCTTATTTACAAAGACCTCTTTCCCACATCTCTTTTATTGACTTCATTTTTCTGAATGACCCTCACTCTCAGGAAGCTCTTCCTCATATTTAACAAAATTGCTCCATTGATTTCTAAGCAACAGGTGTGTTATTAACCTTGACTACTTCTAGTCATGGAGTTGCTTTGAAAAAAAAAGTGTGAAGGATTGATAAGAATATGTGGATGTCTTTGGCCATGCAGAAAACCTCCTTGACATTTCCAGGTACCCAAAACATACACATTTGAAATTTGATATCTGAACGAAATGCATATTGCAAAATCCAAACTGGCTGAAGTCTCTACCAACATTTTTTAGAAGTCCATGTAAAGGTACTATTTGGAAAACAAGGCCATTTTCACTTTACTAATATTTGAAACAGAGGTGTCATATGTGTATATTTCTATCCAATTAAGGTCTGTACAAAATACATTTTTAGCTCACTGATCAGAACACTCAACCCTTTCCTGTTTCTAGATACAAACACACACAAGCAGCATTGGCACCATTACATTGAGATGAATTAGACTTAAGCAGCTGGGTTTGGGACATGCTTCTCTACATATTGTCACTACTATATTCATTTTAATATAATCTCAAATTACGATTACTTCCAAATAAGTGGTTTAATTGGACACCTAAACAAAAATACACGCGCTTTATGTTATTGCAGTAAGGAGTAAATTTCAAACAAACTAGATTTGTCTTATTAAGCAAAAGCAGGAAAAAGCATGCAAGTCAATGATTTTCATTTTCCTTTCTTCCAATGATCACAGGGTAACCAAAGATAGCAATTAATAGAATACAGCTTAATAATTTTTTTTAATTTGAATTGAGAACAAAGAAAGATTCTTGATTTGTAGGTTTTGCAATTCCTTTCCCCACAAGAAAGAGAACTTTTCTATCTTAAACTATCTGGTTTTTTTTTCTCTCTATTTACAATACAATACTCCTGATACACAAAAGCAGATGGACCTAGATATCCTCCTCCGTTCTTAGACACTACCGTTAGAGCACAAAAATAAGCCACTCTTTTGTTGAGTTTGGAAGCTTTCAATATGCACGGGGATGTAAGAGAAACATTGAAACTCGGGCTCTCCTAAGCCAGACGCCAAGGCATTAGACCATCAGTATCACACATAACAAGAGTTTTGTTCAAATGTTCACTAAATACATGACAACAGTCCCTTTCTGTCATCTAGTAGGGATCTAAAGGAATTCATTTACCCAAGGAACCCTTTCTCCTGCCCTTCCTCACCACCCTCTTGGTAAGGTGATGTGGAGGAGACGGTTAAGCCAGGATCCTTCCTAGACTCACAATCCCCCTCCAAATTCCCAACCTTTTTGTTCTTCCTCAGCGGAATAGACTTCTCTCCCCGCAGCCTTTGTTATTCAAGCAACACACCTCCAGCCATACCTCCAACCTTTTGCTTCTCTTCTGGAGAGATCTGGAATCAGCCTGAAGTCGGGCGGGGGAGCGAGCGAGGGAGGGAAGAGAGGTCTACTTACTGAGCAGCCACTGCCGCGTTAGTGGGACTCGCTGGACCAGGGATGGGGAGTCACATCCATGGGCAGCCTGGGAAGGAGCACAATGGCCTGCGTACTGAGCGGAGGCGCAGGACCCACCCGCCGGGATCCCGCCACCGTGCAAGGGCAGCGGAGGCGCCTCCGCGGATTTCGGTTGGGCGGCCAGGGTGTGTGGATACAAGCTGCCTGCCTTCGCAGCCTAGCGAAACCCCCACCGTATCATTTTACCATATAAGGAGACAAAAGCATCGGAGACACTCACTCTTTAAGGCTCCCAGCAGCTGGCATTCAACACTTTCTCTCGTCTGTAGTGCGTGTGCGTGCGTGTGTGTGTGTTTTCTTTTCCTCCCAAACACTCTTTGTCAGGCTCTCTTGCTCCAGCCAGACTCTCACTCCTCCTCCATCCTCCCTCCTCTCATCTCCTGCCATCTCCACTCCCACCCCCCTTTCAGCTACCTCTTTTCATCATGTTTTCTTTCCCTTTTAACCCAATGATGTCTTTCATGGAAAACATCTTGATGAAAAACCCAGCCGTATCAACTTACAGGAAGGAGAGTTTTACAGTAAGGCTGACACCAGCATTCCAGGGCTCCTCACCTGGGGTAGAGTGCCAAGCCCAGGGCTGCTGCTTCTGCTAGTCTAGAAGTTATCAGAATCTGGTCACACGCGGATAATTCTGTCAGCTAAACATTCACCTTCTGTTTACAAATGAGGTGGGGAAGCAGACAGACTTTGGAAGGGAGGGAATAAGAGTGAGAGAGAGGAATAAAGACAGGGCATTTGAGGAGCAGGAAAAGTGAAAGCAAGGTATTTGCATGCTTGGCGCTTTCTTTCAGCACACCTTTCAGTTAATAAAAGAAACTAGTAGGTCAGTCAGTCAATCATCTAGCATTCATTAAGCGAATACAATGTGCCAGGCACTGTGCTAAACGGGAAACTAACAGCTAGAACAGCAACCAAAAAGCCAGTCAGTGTTCTCAAGGAGCTCAGAGTCTAATGGGGACCAAAACGAAATGAAAATGCAAAGTCTCCCTTTTTTTACCTGAGAAAAGAAAGCAAAAGATCAGCCCTTAGTTTCTTTTCCACTGGGACAAATCAAAATATGAGATGATAAATGAAAACCCTTTAGCTAATAAAGGGCTACACTCTCTACTGGTTCATTAATTGAAAAAAGTCAACATAGTCTAACCCTCAGGGAAAGGAGTTTGAGTGAGTGAGTGGGGGGGGGGGTGGAAGGGCGGCCTCGTTAAAAGCTGGTGAAAAAAGCTGTGGGATTGCAACTGTTTCTTCTTCAATGTGTAAAGAAGGTTCAAGTTGGGAACTGTGCGGATCCAGGCCAAAGGAGATTAGCTGATTAACTGCAGTGGCTGCTTTTAATGTGAAATATGTTGGGCAATAGTACCTTTCAGAGATTGGACGAAGTTCATCACAATAAATGCTCTGGAGGTAGACAAAGGGAGATAACGCTGAATTTGGAGGCAGAGGACCAGGTTCAACTCCCCCTTCTGCCAGTTACTGCCCATGTGTGCCTAGGCAAATATCTGCCCTTTCTGAGCCTCCATTTTTCTTTATCGGCTAGGGGAGGGGACTTGATTAAATTATCTCTAAGGCCATTTTTATGTTTTATAATTCTGTAAAAGAGATGGTCAGCTATTTTCTGTTGAGCTCAGAATTCACCCAAAGGTGCCTCCACATGATCAAGTGATTACCCAACACAGAGCCCCTCATTTTCAGGTGAGCCAAGTAAGTCTTGAAGAGATTAAGTGACTTGCCCAGGTTCATACAGCCCATCAGAGTCTTCTCACTCCAGAGTCAGTGCTCTTTCTACTGTACCATTTTCATTCTGACTAGCTGGTCATCATTTGCACTTTATACTATTACACCCATTTAACATACCAGAAACTTGAGGGCTAGAGAGGTGACATGACTTGAGTATGGTCACAGAGGTAGGTTAAGTGTTAGAGATGGAATCTGAACTCAGGCCTCAGAGCCAGTGTTATTTCTACTATGCCTTGTTGCCTCCCACAGGCACTCAACTAAAAATCATATGGAAATCCAGAACAAAACCAGGTGTACAACATCATGCTCATCTGGGCATATGGAAGGACTTTGAGAAAAGAATGGGAAAGGTTATTACTGAAGTAAAACAGCACAGTGACTCAAACTCTGGACTTGATAATTTACTAGTGACACATTATGAAGTGGGCAATTCCCTGGGGGTTGGGGTAGGGTTGGCAATAGACTAAATATAGACAGGAATCAGGAACTCTGAATCCTCACTGCAATTAGCCTTTCAGTTTCCTCGAGTGAGGGGAAGCCTCTATTAGCAAAACTTAGAGGGAAAAGAAAAGTCAGATGGGCTGTCTTTTTAAAAACACTACGATTAAATAATTTACAAAGAATTCTCTCAAAGGGAAGACAGCTTTTTTTTTTTGCAAGGGCACATAAGAGCACAAGTGGTTTTTAATAGGTAGTCTCACAGCAGACAGATGGACCCATTCTCCTAAGCCTAGACTAGACCCACAGTGTGACTGACCACAGCTAGAAAGGAGTTAATAGTATGAGAGGAAGTATAGTATAATGTACTGGACTTATATAGTCAGAAAAACCTGCCTCAGACACTTCCTAGCTGTGTGACCCTGGGCAAATCACTCAGTTTCTCAGGGCCTCAGTTTTTTCATCTGTAAAATGGGGCAGTTCACCTTGGTAACCTCTAAGGTCCCTTCCAGCTTCAGATCTATGATCTAGTGGTATGCCTGCAGATGAATTCTGACCTTCTTTGAGAAAAGGACAGGTGCTAGATCATCTCACATTTACCAGTCAGAATGGGAACAGATGAACAGGTGAGAACTGAAATCTTGTTATTAGTCAACAATATATCAATACCAATTATACACAATGACTTCCTCCTTGTCCCTCCTCCCTTCACATTTCTGTATTGCCTCAAGTTTTGCAAAGAAATTTGTTCACAGCAACTCTCTGAACTAGGAAATATAGGTATTGTTGTTCAGTCATTTCAGTCCTGTCCAATTCTTCATGACCCCATTTGGGGTTTTCTTGGCAAAGATATTGGAGTGGTTTGCCATTTCTATCTCCAGTATTATCGTACCTGTTTTACAGACAAGAAGCTGAGGCCCAGAGAGCTCATCTGACTTGTCACACTCAGATCAAATAATGTTTATACTTTAGTATATAAATTATATTTCAACAAATCTGTGAAATCATTGTTGTGAATATTATCTCCATTGATGTAGATCATAACCCTTCTCCACCTTCACAGCTTGTGTTAAACTTATCCTCATCCACCAAAATCCCAAAAATGTTCCACAGAAAACCCTACCTCTAATGCTTATCGCCTCTTTGATTTTGGACAAGTCACTGCATTTGCCTGTGCCTCTATTTCCTCATCTGTAAAGTGAGAGTGTTGTACTTCTGTAATCTACCTAGCATGCTGGAGGTCTTTCTGTATCTTTTTGCATTTCCTTGGTATCATTACACTACTTGGGCTATGTCCACAGTATGCCTTATGGCTCGTGACATAAATGGCTCATCATCCTCTATTCTTATTATACTTTTCTGGAATAATATTTCTTATGTTACTGATTGTGAATAAGCCATCATTGGAAATACACTGAAGCCTACTTGTGTGTACCACCCATCTCTCCCTTTCCCTTTGCATCACAACTTCGATTCTTGGAGATTGTGTTGTGCTAAGATTTGCAACCATAAAACATCACCAGGAGAATATTTATGTTAAGAAGATGGGCTCTCTATTCCTTTTAGGATTAAACATGAACTTCTCTATTGGGTAATTAAATCCTTTCACAATTTGATCCCAACCTATCTTGCCAACCTTAATACACATTACTTCTCTTCACACCCTATGGTTGAACAAAACTGGCCTTCCTGTTGCTCATATGGGGCTCTCCATCTCTTATCTCCATGCTCCTACATTGGCTGTCCTCCATGCCTGGATTTCAATTTCTCTTCACCTCTGCCTCTTAGAATCCCTACTTTCCTTTAAAACTTAGCTGAAGTACCATCTTCTACATGAAGCCCTACCTGATTCTCCCTAGTGCCTCCCCCACCTTGCAGCATCCTCTGACTAGACTGTAAGATCCTCAAGGGCAAAGAGAAGGAAGAGAGAAAAAAAGAAAAAAGAAAGAGAAAGGAAGGAAAGAAGAAAAGGAGGGAGGAAGATAAGAAGAAACAAAAGAAGGAAGGAAAAATGAAAGAAATAATTTAAAGATATTCTCCTTCCTCTATTTTTTCCCTCAGTATCTACTATAGTCTTGACCTCTAAATGTATCATTTATGCACCAGGAAAGAACCAGCACAAATCACTCATCTAATTCCCTAAGTGTTATTGTTGTACCTAGAAAGGTTAATGGGAATCAAAGAACAAGAAGAGGGAGAAAAAGGGTGAAAAAAGTAGGAGAGAAATAAGAGGAACAAATGAATGGGGTACGATAGGAAGGAACAGGAAAAGACCTAATCTATGAATATCTTTGTATCTGATCTGGTCTTAGAATATCATTTAAGTCCCAAAGGAATTGGGTGAAGGGTCCTGTGTAGTGACTCACACTGAAGTTCTCCCACATTGTGAGTACTACTCAGCACAAGGAATGTATCTGGAGAGAAGAGGTCCTAAGAGAGAATGTCAGGAACTTGTGGCTGGGGCTGGAGGATGGGGGTAAGGAATGAAAGATAACTCCAGGTTTCTCAGGCTAGCAGTGGGGCTGAGTAGCAGCCTAGGATGAGTGTGTTCTATGTGAATATCTTTGGCATCAATGTCCAAGATTAAAGAGACTCTTTCTCTAAACTATGGCTTAACTCTCACTTTCACTGTTATCCCTATTCTTCTCTCTATATGCACATAAATGTGTATGTGTATATATATATATATATATATATATATATATATAGTATGGGTTCTTTCTACATTAATTTTCTGTATAACTTATGCTTAGGTGTAATACACTGTGCTTAGGGGAGATACGAAAATGAACAAGATATAGTTCTTGCCCTCAAGAAGTTTATAATCTAGTAATACCTTTGCTGATTCTTACTACTTCTGATTTCTCCCTGGGCATATATGATTGTCACGGCTGTGGTAAGCAGAAGGAAAATGGAAATACACAGTATCATAGATCTGGATCTGAAGATAGATCTTAAAAGG